TCTGGCTCCACTCATTCCCAAGTAAACTACCTCTCCCCACTCAGAGCAAGGTTTGTGGTATTCGCAAAAAAATAAAAGGGTTGTGTAATGTTACAAAGCATACTCTCCAGAAATTAACACTGGACTTTCTTTTTAATGGTAATAATTACCACCCCAGGAACTTGTCTTGCCCCTTTCCCCTGAAGCCAGGCTGATGTAGATTGCACACACATTACAATACATAGCAACCAGCTAGATTATCCTGGAAACTGCAGAATTAGAGGTGAGTTTTGGTATCTTGCCTAAAATAAATGCTTTCACTGCTAAAGGGGCCATGTATTGTGTGTCAGGGTCAAGGCAACTATGGGTTGGGTACAATTTACCGTTGTAGACAGATCCCAAGTGGGCTTTGAATCCTACAGATCCTCAATTCAGCCCTTTTTTAATTCTTCTGATACCAGCACCCAAACATTGTGGAGGTATGACCTAATAAAATCTAAATAGGGATTAGAAGGAGAATTCCAAGGTTGGACCTGAGTGTTAAGTAAACATTCCTGTGATCATTGACGGCTTTCATGGCCAGAATCATTGGGTTGCTGTGAGTTTTCTAGGCTGTATGGCCATGTTCCAGAAGCATTCTCTCCTGACGTTTCGCCCACAAGCCATTCAATGCTAATCAAGCTGGCCAATTGCAACATTCACACTTGCCTCAAACAAACAAGAGTTCCTTCTCCCACCTTGGACATTCCACAGACATATAAACCTCACTTGCCTAGTTTCCATCAGACCTCACTGTCAGAAATATTTAAAATTAACTAGGTAATTTTAATTACAAAAATGTGAGTCAAGCACTGAAAAGGGTTAAATGGGTGCAATGATTCAGCAAAAGCTGTAGCTCTACAGTTGTGCCTGTAGTTTAGTAGCCCCCAGTGTTTGCAGACCTCAGTGAGAGAGGCCTCAGTATGGGGTCGCCCTCAGTCTGTGAGAGATCTCTGTGGGAGAAGGGCCTCAGTGTGTTAGTAGGCCTCAGTATGAGATCGCCTCAGTGTTAGTTGCCCTCAGTATGAAGAGGCTTTAGTCTAAAAGAGTCCTCAGTCTGAGAGGTCTCAGTGTGAGGTAAATCTCAGTGTTAGTAGGCCTCGGTATGTGAGAAGCTTCAGTGAGAGAAACCCCAGGTTGAAGGCCATCATGTGTGAAAGCTGCTGCGTGTAAAAAGCACTGTGTAACTTCGATGTGAAAAAAGGCTCTGTGAGAAGGAAGCTGTTTATCTGCATGGGAAAGAAGCCCAGTGTGAATGCACTTCATGCATTTCACTGTTCTTTTTGAAGGCCTATGTTGTTGTTCATTCGTTCAGTCGTCTCCGACTCTTCGTGACCTCATGGACCAGCCCACGCCAGAGCTCCCTGTCGGCCGTTACCACCCACAGCTCCCTCAAGGTCAGTCCAGTCACTTCAAGGATGCCATCCATCCATCTTGCCCTTGGTCGGCCCCTCTTCCTTTTGCCTTCCACTTTCCCCAGCATAATTGTCTTCTCTAGGCTTTCCTGTCTCCTCATGATGTGGCCAAAGTACTTCAACTTTGTCTCTAGTATCCTTCCCTCCAATGAGCAGTCAGGCTTTATTTCCTGGAGGATGGACTGGTTGGATCTTCTCGCAGTCCAAGGCACTCTCAGAACTTTCCTCCAACACCACAGCTCAAAAGCATCGATCTTCCTTCGCTCAGCCTTCCCTAAGGTCCAGCTCTCACATCCGTAGGTTACTACAGGGAATACCATGGCTTTGACTAGGCGGATCTTTGTTGCCAGTCTGATGTCTCTACTCTTTACTATTTTATCAAGATTGGACATTGCTCTCCTCCCAAGAAGGAAGCGTCTTCTGATTTCCTGGCTACAGTCTGCATCTGCAGTAATCTTTGCACCTAGAAATACAAAGTCTGTCACGGCCTCCACAGTTTCTCCCTCTATTTTCCAGTTGTCAATCATTCTTGTTGCCATAATCTTGGTTTTTTTGACGTTTAGCTGCAACCCGGCTTTTGCGCTTTCTTCTTTCACCTTGATTAGAAGGCTCCTCAGCTCCTCCTCGCTTTCGGCCATCAGAGTGGTGTCATCTGCATATCTGAGGTGTTAATGTTTCTTCCAGCAATTTTCACCCCAGCTTTGCATTCATCCAGCCCCGCACATCGCATGATGTGTTCTGCATACAAGTTAAAAAGGTTGGGTGAGAGGATGCAGCCTTGCCGTACGCCTTTCCCCAATCTTGAACCAGTCTGTTGTTCCGTGGTCAGTTCTTACTGTTGCTACTTGGTCCTTGTACAGATTCCTCAGGAGAGAGACAAGGTGCCTTGGTATGCCCCTACCAAGAACTTGCCACCGTTTGTTATGATCTACACAGTCAAAAGCTTTAGAATAGTAAATAAAACAGAAATAGATGTTTTTCTGAAACTCCTTGCCTGTCTCCAGAAGATATTGGCAATTTGGTCTCTCGTTCCTCTGCCTTTTCTAAAACCAGCCTGTACATCTGGCAAGTCTCTCTCCCTGTATTGCTGGAGTCTACCATCAGGATCTTGAGAATGACCTTACTAGCATATGAAATAAGTGCCACTGTACAATGGCCATTCTTATGTTTGCCATGATTTTAGGTTAATTATGCTCAAATAAAGAACTTTGTGTTATGAAAACCTTGTTCTTGTAAATAGTGCAACCATATTGTTTTGCTATAAAGAAAAGCTTCCTAATGGGGGAGATAATATTCGTCTGTGTGTTTTTATTCTTTTTATATTTTTGGGCTACTGGTGCTAGGTCACACTCCTGCTAGTAAGTTACTCTGCTGTGCATTAATGAGGGTCTTTTGTTAATAAGCCCACTCGCTCAACACACACATCCTCTGAGGATGACTGCCATAGATGTGGGCAAAATTTCAGGAACGAATGCACAGAAAACTCACAGCAACCCATTCCTGTGATTTCTTGGACAGCCACCAAGGCACCACAGGAATGCAGCCTCTATGCCAAAATAAAGTTTTTGAGGTCATCCCTATGAGCAGAAATTGTCTTGACAACTGGAAGCGACACTAAACCGCACGTACATTGTTATTTCAACAGCGGTAGGCAGATGTTGTCCACAGTTTCTGGTTCTCTTTTATATTCTTATCAGTAGTCGAGGCAACTTAAAATTTCCATGAGAAAATCTTAATTATCAAGAGATTTCACTGTTCTTTTTGAAGGCCTATATTTTGATTTAAATTGAGTGAAAGAACAGGTACACCGGGCCCTCATAATTACTGTATGCATATAGACTCCTTTTAGATTTTAGGTTAATTATGCTCAAATTAAACATGGTAGTAGTGGGAGATTTGGACTCCCTTCCAATTTTCAGAAGGGTGAATGTAGGCTAGTCTTATAGACCGTGACTTGAATTGGCCCTTGAATTGTGTGGGAAAACCATTAATAGCGGGTTAAACTGCCAGCTGCAAAGTAAACGTGCCAACTGGAAGGTTGGCAGTTCAAAGGGTCAGGGTGTTAGCCCTAGCTTCTGTCAACCTAGCAGTTCGAAAACAAAAAAAGGTGAGTAGATCAATAGGTACTGATTTGGTGGGGAGGGAAAAGGTGCCCATGCAGACATGCTGGCAATTAGATCAGGAAGGCGCCCACGGACAGCAGGCTCCTCCTCGGCATGAAAAAATGAAACAAGAGCACCTCCCCATGGCCGAAGTTGAGGACAGTCTCCAGACAGTGGAGATAAAAAGGGAGAAGACTTTACCTCTGTCTGTGTGAAACATGAAAACACACAACAACCTATTATTATTATTATTATTATTATTATTATTATTATTATTATTTTACTGACACAAAAACACAGCATTTCACAGCAAATGAGATCTATATGCTGGATTTCGTATCACAAAATCACAAGTCGAACACTTCCCAAGCGTCTAGGACTGTGTGATGTATTATTATTATTATTATTATTATTATTATTATTATTATTATTATTATAACAAGCATTTTGGGTTGTGTTAATTGATTAAGAGAGTTTGTGTCTGGAATTTAGCGATATTGCTCTACATGAATCACAGTCATAGGGAATGATACTGATGTTAATGCTTGTATGGGGCATCTTAGAATAATAGAATCAAAGAGTTGGAAGAGACCTCATGGGCCATCCAGTCCAACCCCCTGCCAGTTTAAACTGTGCTTCCAGTCACCAATTGAGCCATGTTCCTCGGATGAGAACTTCCATAATTTATCCTTATAGGCTCAACGTTTTCTTTTATGATGACAGCCAAAAGGATGCATTTAAAATTTGTCCAGCAGAAACATAATCTCACTTACCCCCTTTTTAAAAGTTTATCACATTATTTTAAAAAATGTCCTTAAAAGTAAGATGAAATTGAGAAATGAAAACTTGTTTCCCTGTTAAATTTACCAACAAGATCTTTTTTTTTTGGAAAAAGCAATTCCTATTTCAGTTTTGCTTTTATCTGTCACAGCAGCACTTTTGGATGAAGTCCCAGAAGGTTGATTCCATGTCTGTAGGCAGGGCAACTGCTCTATGCTGAATACATTTTTCTGTATTTTCTTTATCACTACAGTCAAAGAGCTGGAAGCTATGAAATCTGAAGATATCACCACTAAATTGGGTCTTTGCAGTGTTATGTGCTGCCTTTAGAAAAAACTTGCATGTGTCTCTAAGCATGGAAAGAAATCCTCTCATTTGCAGCTAAAACATCTTGCATTGAAGTCTGGCAATTCAGGCCCTCACTTTTCCGTCGCTTAGAAATAAATTTGCTCCCACTTTGACACAGTGAAGCTTTTGAAGACACTTTTGTCTGTGCCTGTGGTAATGTTGCAGAACTGGATGCTTCTCCATCTTTGCAGTGTTTCAGTGAATTTGTCTTGTGGGGCCCTTTTGCCGTTGGGAGTGTAGCCAGGCGCAGTCTGCACAGACGAAGTAAATTAACTGTGATCTCTTGAGCAACAAATCCACAAAATTACCACATTATAGCTTCCGTGTGTATGCCAACCAAACGAAGCTTACAATAAGTTTATCAGGTAGGGCATCCTTTATAAAATGTATTTGTATTAGATTTTATAATCTATTTCCATGCATTATTTAGTCAACCAGTCATTTACAATCCTTGGAAAGGTAATGCTAAAGCAATTTACTTGCTGAAAATATTGCTATTGATTGCTCAGCACGTTCAGATGTTATACACAGGTGCAGTGTTACTGATGTACAGAATCCACTTCTTCCTAGCATTGCCTGCTATCACCCATCCTTTTAGACAATTGGGATTGTTCCTGCAAATATCATTGTTGTAGTAATCTAAGATCACCTTCACCAGGGTTGTTGCTTGAACCATAGGTGCTCTCACCTCTCTGCCCTATATCCCTTCTACACTGCCCTATATCCAAAGATCTCCTTATCCCAGATTATACAGTAGTGGAGACACATATAATCAAGTTCTGAGCAGATAATCTGGGATGAGATCCTGGGATATAAGGCAGTGTAGATCCAGCCTGTTGTCACCTGTAATACCTACTCTTCTACCCATTCTTTTCCTTCCCTGTATCTTTACCAATCACCCAATCTAACTTCTGCCCAGATAAACCATATACTGGTGAGGAGATTACATGAGACAGCTCCTCATGGCAACTCTTTCTGAATTTGAATTTTCTCCAGGTCACTTCAAATCTTTAGGAATGTTTAGGGAAAGTTTGCTATAACATCTGATCCCGATGAATGTGGTGTGTTGCCATTTCCACATAGAATCATAAAGTGGAAAGAGACCTCATAGCCATCCAGTCCAACCTCCTGCCAAGAAGTAGGAAAATTGCATTCAAAGTACTTGAATTGCATTTTTCAGTCTGTACTCCCCTCCCTCAACTGGGTTTCATTCAAATGTCTTAGATTACTTTTCCCATTAGCCTTGCATATCATGATTAATGTTAAGGCTGGAAAGAGCTGCTGGGACAGTTGTCTATGGGTACCTCTACACTGCAGAATTAATGGAGTTTTACAAGTTCCTTAGCCTTTGCCAAAGAGAGATGATGCGTCACCAGATATAGACTTGAGCCATGGCAGTTTTTTTTAAATCTCAGAAGCAACTTGATAAACTGCAAGTCACTTCTGGTGTGAGAGAATTGGCTGTCTGCAAGGACGTTGCCCAGGGGATGCCTGGATGTTTTGATGTTTTACCATCCTTATGGAAGGCTTCTCTCATGTCCCCACAGGGGAGCCAAAGCTGACAGAGGGAGCTCATCTATGCTCTCTCTGGATTTGAACCTCCAACCTGCTAGGTTTTCAGTCTTGCTGGCACAAGGGTTTAATTCATTGCGCCACTGAGAGCTCCATGCCATGGCAGTTAATGTGATGTCAAACTGCATAAATTCTACAGTGTAGATACATCCTTTGTTGTGGCACCTCCAGAAAAATCTGGAGTGTGGAGTGTGGATTGAAGTCCTCTTGGATGTAGGGGAAACATCTTACACCAAATGCCTGTGACACCACTGCAAAAGCTCCAAGACTTTCAGAAGATACCAAATTAACTGCATAGGGCCATCCATTGTTCTAAGTGATCCCCGTTTAACACTGTTTCATATGCACCAAGCAACAGATTCTAAAGACTCACAGAAGAATTCGTATCACAGCTATGTTTCATTTATACAATATTTTGACAACGTTACCGCTGAAGAAACACATCTCCAGTAGCACCATAAAGCCAGGAATGGCTGCACAGATTTTTTTTGTACTAAAGTGCATGAAGATAGATAATTTTAGAACTGATTCATGCGTAGGGACAAGATTTGCGTGATAGCCATTTGTGGATTATCTGTGCAAACAGAAAATATCTTCCTTCAGTGCCGTAGTGCCTCCTGAATAGAAATGTAGATTCAGAGAGTAGATCAGCATGGCACCGCACATTTTGCAAGCATGGTGAGGAGAATTGTGCATGACAAAAAGGAGCAGCATGGGAAGTGCAAGCTACTCCACTTTAGATCGAAATCTTTCACCTCATAAGTTACCTTCAAGTATTTGAGCCTGTATTTCAGTTTAAACAGGAATCATTGTCAGGCTGGACAGAAGCATCCAAATTTGTACTGAACAAGGCAGTTCCTCTTCACTTACCGGTGTTCACTTAATGATTTGGAATGCTGATATTTTTCAGGGGATTGCCCATACTTTCTCTCTGACACCAAAGGCAAGGAGAGCTGTAAACAATCTTGTGTATGAGAGGACCCATTCACTCTAAGGCCTTTAAAGCAGTCTGCACTGTTTCTGTCAGGTTTAGTATAGCCTGGTGCAGACCACTTTTTTTCTTTTCTTTCCCCTCCATCTAAACTGACGTTGAGGTTTTCAAGGAGACCTGGGATCAAAAAGAAAAAAAGAAACAAATAAATTGCAAGCCTGCAAAGATTTACTAATTCCAAATATCGATTTGAGGTACTATTCTCACCACGGTAGAATCCCAACATCCAATGTTCATAATACAATTCTGCTGTGAGATATTAATGAACGAATGCATTTGGAATGAGGAATTCTGACTCCGTACACATGAAGTGTTGATGCATAATAGACAAATTACCACTCTTAAAAAGCAACAGCAGAACAAATCATGGAGAGATTAATAGTTTCAGCATAATGTTCAGAAATACCAGTCTGGCTTCTCTTTCTTTGAAAAAGCAGTCAAATAATTCCCATTTTGCTCTGCGTTTATTTTTAATTGGGCAAAAGAAAAGCCTAAGTGCTGGGTCATGTGTCCAGATGTCCTGTGGAACCAGTCATTGATACAATATCCATGGGTTGATTAGCTGTTCTCAGCTATAGCAGAATCAACCTTGTAACATCGTCTGGAATCCCAGCTTATTGCAACACAAGCTGCACCATTCAGAATTAGGATCACGTTAATTAAAGAATATCTCTTGACTTTGTTGTGAATCTCTTTAAAACCATCTACTGTTGATATAGTGGATTAGGACTGTGGGAGACCAGGATTTGAATCCCTTCTCAGCTATGGAAATTTACTGTGGACCCTGGGCAAAGCCTCAGGAAAGGGTGAAAACAATCCTCCTCTGAACAAATCTTTCCCACCTCTCTTTCCATAATTCCATAATCAGCCGCCCTGAGTCCCCCCTCGGGGGTTGAGAAGGGCGGGGTAGAAGTGCGCGAAATAAATAAATAAATAAATACATGGTCAAGAAATGAGGAGAAATTGATTCATTCTAAACTATCTCCTTATAACTGTTTTTCAACTAATTCAGTATACTTGATTAGAAGTTCCTCACTTAATTGACTGTAATAGATTTGCTGATAGGCCTGGGTAACAACGGAAAAATTTGTTTCTAAAATTGATTTGTATTTGGGGTTTTTTTTGTTTCGATATTTAAAATAATTACAAAATTTTCCTTTTAAAAAGTTCGATATTTACGAAATTTCGTAAATGGTAAAAAATTAACGAATCGATTTCCGAAACAATAACGAATCGATTCGTTAATGGCGCACGCGACCGCGAAATACGCTAAAAAACCTCCAAAACCTTCTGAAGCTTCCCTCTCCCTCTGTTGTTGACTGTTGGTGTGATATTATATTTT